AGTTGGAACAATAAACACGATTTGACCCATTTTGTCCCTTAACTGGCAGATTTCCTTTTGAACTTGGCTCAGCCAAAGTGAAACAGGAAGTGACATCAGAGGGGAACTTTTTAACAAAGAAAACTCTCTGGTCTTTGTTTATTGAAACAATGTTATTTGAACTCAGACTCTTCATCTCTCTGATAGTGACTCAAAATAATCTTAACAAACATCAGATTCTTCTCTACAGTCTGGGTTGTTAGCCATTTTAGCAAAGCTCTGTTCACATGCAGACATTCCTCTTTGACATCACTTCCTGTTACTTCACAGGCAAATATCTCAACAACCGTTCATCTCAGCAACATGAAATTTCTTTTGCAGTATTTTGTCAATGACATCTTTTCAAAAATGTTTTTATATTTATTACAAAAAAAATGACGTCACAGGCACTTTAAATATTTAATGACAGCAGCACTTTCTTCTTGACCTCAGACTAAAGGTTAGCTCACCACTCTGGTCAAAATTAAATGAGGTAAAAAAAAAATTAATGAGGTAATACAAAAAGTTTCAGCCAAGATATTGTTTTACAGCACCTCATTGAAAAAAAACACTAAAATATTCCTTTAATACTGCTTTTTTTTCACAGCTTCCAAATGATAAAATACACGCTGATGACACCAGGTTGGGAGGCGAAATGAAGCAGACAAGTCAGAACCAGCTCGCACCAGAATCAAACTCGTCTGGACTCTCAACATCTGCTGGCCAAGTCTCCTCTGAATCTGCAGGCAGGAGAAGTTGTGAGCAAAGCGAGGAGGTGTCGTCACAGGTTAGAATGAGCCCAAACCCTCAGCTGACCTCTGCGACGGCCTGCAGCTCCACAACAGACAATGAGGGACAACCTGTCCAGGTCCACAGGAAACCTGGGAGACCTCGGAAAGTAAAACAGATTCTGGATGACGACCAAAAAGCTCCGAACGCTGCTGGTTTTGACATCGTTCAACACAGGGAGGTCAGCACCACCATACCCTTACCCTTACCAGAGATTTCCCCCACCCACAGCACAGAGGATGTGCCTAACGCTGTAGATGGACACTCAACCAGTGCGTCATCTCAGAATGAGACCCCGAGCGACGAAGCAGGAGTCGCTGTACCTTTAGCAGCGAAAAGAAAAAGGGGACGACCGAAAAAATCAGAGGCCGCCGCTTTGAAGGCCGCAGCAGCTCCGGCTGTGCGGCCTCGGGCTGTTGGCAACCCGGTGTGGAGCCTGAGGAGCAGAGGAGACACCCAAACGTCAACACAGAGTGAAATCTCTCAGAGCAAAGACGACGCCGCTCCCACAGAAAGCAGCAACACACCCGACAACCACGCTGTCAGAAGAAGTAGGAGAAGGGAAAACAAGCTTCTGAATAATCAGCAGGTCCCAGAGAAAGTGCCCAAGCTGGATGATTCCCTGGAGGCTTCGGCAGCGTTGAGCAACGAGCTGGAGGGGGAAACCGAGGCAGGAAAACCCGTTGACCCAAGTGGCGGAACACTTCAGACTGAAGCAGAGAGAAATCGTGATCAATTTTCTCCACATTCTGAAGAAGTACAAGAGCAGCAGCTAACAGAAAACCCATCACAACAAAGTAAAGTGCTTTCTGAACCAGAACCTGAAGTGACTCCTTCAGAGGATTTGAACAGTTTAAAGCTGGTTGAACCCACTCAGACTGAGGAAACACAGTCGGCGTCAAACTCCCCCGAGTCTTTGAATCCTCCAGCCAACGAAGACCCGCCRAGGACGGAGCCTTCTAGCACAAACGCTGTAACACCCTCTAAAGAGACACCAGAATCTGTTGAAAGCCTTGTTACTGTAAAAACTGAGAGAGTTGAGATAAATCTGGATCATTTCAATTCATCGTCACAGTCCGATAATAATGAATCTAGACTCAACACCGCTGTTAAACCAGAAGATTCAGTTGCTGGGTGTTTCATTTTCAGGCGCAAGAAAGGCGGCAAGAGAAAGAGATTAGTTAGTGTCGCGTTACCAAAGCAGCGCCTTGTAGAGAAACAAGATCCTGACACAGAACTGAAAAYGGACTGTGGCGATGTGCAGAAAGAGGACGACGTTGACGTCGGCCCTAACATCATCTACGTGAAGAAAGGCCCTAAGACGTTAATGAAATGCGGCTATTGCAGTCGAACGTATAGGTTTCTGTCTCAGCTCATCATCCATCAACGCGTGCACACAGGGGAGAGGCCTTTCACGTGCCAGGAATGCGGAAGAGGTTTTAGCAAAAATTCGAACTTAAACCTCCATCTCAAGATGCACACAAAGAACAGCATGTGTGAAAAATGTCCGGTTTGCAGCGCCAGAATCTKCAGGTCCGAGTACGAACGTCACACWCAAATGCACAGTCTGGAGGAGGAGGTTAAAAACACAACACCTGAGGAACCAAGCAAAGTGGCGGACCTCGAGGATGGCCAAGAGGTTCACAATACACCTTCAACAGAAAAGGCTGAAAATATGGAAAAGATGGTGGAAAAGATGGTGRAAAAGACAGTGGAAAAGRYGGTGGAAAAGACAGTGGAAAAGGTGGAAAAAGTCAAAAGCAAAGTTTGCCAGTACTGCGGTAAATCCTTCCTGTTCCAGTCGGCCCTCACAAGGCACGTCCGCGTCCACACCGGCGAGAAGCCGTACAACTGCGACATATGTGGCAAGGCTTTCGGCCAGTCCTATTTCTTGCGCGTTCACGAGCTGACGCACTGGTCCGTGAAGCGCTACACCTGCACGCGCTGCGAGAAGTCCTTCGGCCATTACAGCAACGCGCGAAAGCACCGATGCAAACCGGCGGAAGGCGGCGAGGAGTCGCATCCCAGCCGGCCCTCGCTGACGTACACGTGCCACATCTGCAAGAAGGTTCACGACCGCCTGCAGGAGTTCAACAGTCACATGAAAGCCCACACGGGGGCGAGGCTGCTTCGCTGCTTGCGTTGCGACAAGCTTTTCGTCGGGATCGCCGAGTTCGACGAGCATCGCAGTTGGTGCCCCGCCGACAAAAATACCTCAAGTGCTTTTATAAACAGTGAGGATACAATGTTGGTGATTCGGTACAAAGTGCCTTCGGGGAGTAGTTCATCGGGGGCGAATTCAGCTCCTGTCGCAGCTTCGAATCACGAACTGAAGAAGAAGCCGACRCAGGTCACGTGCAGGAAGCGCCCCGTTAATGTCAAGAATCCGCTCCAATTGACGGTCGTCCCGCCGCCCGACGTCTCCCCTCTCGTGTCCAGGCTGAACCAACTGGATGGCCGATCCGACCCCAGGAAGTATCCGTGTCCGAGCTGCGGGCGACAGTTCAGGCACATGGGCCGGCTGCGAGCCCACATGCTCACGCACGCCCCAGACCGGAGCTATGTCTGCGCGCTCTGCGGGAAGACGCTGGGGAGCTGGGGCAAGCTGTGGCGCCACCAGAGAGTCCACCGGCGGCGGGGCGGGCGCTTCACGTGCCCTCGGTGYGGCCGGGGCTTTCGCTTCGTCGGGCCTTACAGGAAGCACGTAAAGGAGCACCCGGAGTTCCAGTGGGTCGAGGGTCGGCCCCGAAAAGTGATCGAGCCTTATCAATGCGAGCAGTGCARCTGCAGCTTTAAGACTCTGGACCTGCTGTTCACCCATCAGCTCTCTCATTCCACAACGCAGGTGCAGCGCAGGGACTTCGACTTACCTGTGGACCGTCGCAGCTCGCAGTCTAGCAGTAAAACGTCCAGCCCTCCAAGCAGCAACAGTCCCTGGAGCGCCTCACATAAAACCCCAGTCCCCGTTTGTCAGATGGTGACTCTTGTGCCCGTCGTTTCTTTTATTTCTACTGGTCAACCCCGTGGTGTTGGCAGTTCTGCTCAGCAGCATCCCAGTAAGMTACTTTCAGCTCAAGAAAGAGAAACTGAACGAGTCAAAGAAATCACACCTGGAGCGCCCAATAAACCAGTAAGAACCCTCGCAACTAAAATCACCAGCAAATCAAAGGAAGGGGCTTCAGTTGATTTGAACTGTGCTGTGTGTGGGAACACCTTTCCTGCTATTTCAGACCTGTTTCATCATTATTTGCAGCACGCGAGAGGCCAGGTGTAAAAACCGACACAGTTTAATGTGTTGCATCACGTCCCATTTAAAAGACTGGCTGACAATCAGTCATTTACCCAGTTGTGTTTGTTTACTTTTTATTCTTTGTTAAGTTTTGTAAAGACATAAAGATCAGCAGAAGCCACTAAACCTACTTTGGTTTTCTAAAGACATTCATAACACTTTAAATAAATTAAAGGAAAATGTGCAGAAGGAAATCTGAACAGCAGTTAAAATTGTTGCCCGAATGTCTGATGTTTTGAATATTACCTGTGGTAAAAAAAAATTGAATGCTTTAACTGGTTAAATCAGAGGTTCTCAAACTGGGGTCTGTGAGAGGTATCTTGGGGGTCCTCAAAAAATTTCACAAAATTATTAATTTGGTTTTTATTTTTAAAAATGCATGGAGAACAATGAGCTATTAAAACAAACAAAATAAAATTAATAAAAAATATACATTCCCGTGGCATTTAGGGGTTGAAATGACAATAAATTATCATTTAAAACAGCGTGGGGTTTATGAGGGGGTCTCTGGAATTTTTTTTTCCCTTGTCAGGGGTCCCCAGACCCAAATGGCTTGAGAACCCCTGGGTTAAATGATTGGCTTTCCACTGACCATGTGATAGTAGAAAAACAGAAAATCCACTGACGCTCTGTGTTCCCTCAAGTATTTGCAGTACAGTCTATTAAAAGTATTGATTAGTTTGAAATGGTTTACATGTCTGAGGCAAAAAATAATAATTGATAAGCTGCAGAAGAGGAACTTGTGACATTTTAAAGCCATGWCTGCTGGAAAAGAAAAAGGCTGTGTTCTCAACTCAGTGGTCGCAGCCCACGTAGACCACATCCTAAGTGGGCCATAGGCCGCCGGTGTAGGCTCCAAAAACGGCTGTAAAATGACGTTTTAGTCACGTGCCTTCAGTTGTCTTTTAAAGGTRTAACTTTACAAAGTTCAGATTTATTAAAACGTCACACATAACTACAGGAAAAAAAAGTGTTATATTTTGGATTTAACTCCAGTGTCTACGGAAGCYGAGAGCGGCCATTTTCCGCTTATAATTATTTTCTGTGGTTTTCTCWTGATAACGATGAGCGTTTTCTCGAGTTATGGTTTTCCTTGTGTATTCAGTGACCATGGAGAGGGTCTGATCCCCTCAGCTCGTGACCGATAAAGTTTATTACATCATCAAGATCACGGTGTAAACGCCTGCTGAGCTGCAGAGTCAGCCGTCTCCTTAGATCAGTGTTTCCCAGCCCTGGTCCTCAAGGCACACTGCCCTGCACGTTTTACAAGTTTCCCTGCTTTAACACCTGATTCAGATGACTGCAGATCAACAAAAGCCTGTTAACCAGTTATCACTTGAAATCAGCTGAGTTGAAGCAGGGAAACATAGATGACGAGGGCTGATATGAAAGTTATCTGTACAAGACAAATCGCAACTTCAGTCTGTAGTTGCATTTTATTAAACATCTCATTGCAGCATAAATTTCATCAGCTAAGTTGCTAAACTTAGATTTAAAAGCAAATTCTTCAGTCCTGGATAAATTTCCGAACTCTTCATTTTCTGTTTGCTGATGGCACAATGAATCCTGGGATACGGTCGTCAGCGGAGGATACTCAGATGCAGCCTGTATTTTCAGGGTTTTGTCGGTTTTGAGCCTTTAAATTGGGACGTACGCAGTGATGTAAGCAGACAATGTACCCTACGTCGGCTGCAACCCCTGAAGTGAGACGCAGCCAAAGTCAAGTGTGCATCTCGACATGATGCGTTTATTCTGTGATTTTAACATTACRTTTTAAACCATGCAGATATTGGGTTTGCCCTGAATTAAAACTTACAGTGGGAGATCATGGAATTGATTGTTTGTTTGTTTKTTTTTTATTTTTGTCTACACCATATAAATGTTTTTTAAAGGGGTTATCAGCTATGTACGTGTTCATTATAGTGGACTTTTACTTGAAAATATGCTGAAGTTTTTGAATAATACAAGCAAACATTCMACTTCTGTCACATCAGTACATTTTTTGCAGAACTTTCTCACTCATTTCTTTTTTGGGAGAAAAAAAAGTCAGTTTTGGTTTTTGTCCTGTGATGCTTGAGTTGTTGTTTTTAATCATGGGGAAAGAAAAGCTGTTTCCTGATGGACGCCTTGTTACAGTGTATATAAAATGATGCTATAGTTTGTCTTAAAAAATAAAGTTTCTTTTATATTCATTAGAAGATGTGTGTTTTTGTGTTCGTGTTAGGACGGCACCCTGATTATACCCACATGTGAAAATTCAATCCTTTTCTGTGAAAACGTCTCGTTAAACATTCAGTCACATTTTGTCTTCATCTTGAAATCAAGAAAGGTACTGAGAACGTAAAAGATGAACAAAGTTTTGTTCCTTTTTTTTGAAGAGTCAGTGTAAATATGTTTATAGATGATAAATGAACCTCTCCTTGGGCTGCTACCTTATCGTGGTGGAGGGGTTTGAGTGTCCCAATGATCCTAGGAGCTATGC